ATTTCATTTCGTATCTCTTCCTCCAACACCATTTCCATCACCCTCTCAATACTTGGCACAGTTCATTATTTAGAGTATTTTGGAGGAATTAAATAATTTCACTTTGGAGGAAGACAGTTCTGTATGGAAGAGAATGTACTGATTGGACATAAACTCTTATTGGTAAACTACAATGGCAACTAAAAGTTTATAATCTGTCTCTTGTCAATTTCACCAACACAACTCACCTTTTAAGCCCTACCTAATCAGTTAACTAGGCTTGCTCCTTGTCAATTTTTAAATGAAATTCAATTATTAATTTCTATTGAACAATTAATTCATAAGAATGTCTTATGAAAACAACAATGAACTTTGCTGTTTAATACCATACCCCAAAGTTCTTTGAACATATGCCCTTATTTAGTACTGTCTCTTCAGAAACTTCATTTCATGCTTTTAAGTCTGTCGTCAATGCGAAGTAATTTTTTTTTGGATCAAGTACTTTTTTTTTTTCTTTTGGCCACACCCCACGGCTTGCGGGATCCTAGTTTCCCAACCAGAGATTTAACCTGGGCCCACAGCAGTGAAAGCGCGGAGTCCTAACCACTGAACCACCAGGAAACTCCTTGGATCAAGTACTTTTGAATATTTACAGAAATTAAATTGATTCTACCATACCATAGCATCATGTTTATTATACTTATTGCTAATAATCAATAATAAGTCAGAATATGCTCTAAACAATAGCTAGGAAGATAAATAGGTCATTATAGTTGACAAAGGCAGAGCTGAAGAAAAAGGAAGAACCAGGTTACTAAGAGGGGGAAGTGAGTGTCTATGTCACAATTCAAACCAAGGAAAAAAAAAAAACAACCCACTACCTTATACAACAACTGCCCACAATTCAGCCCCAAACTCTCCCCAGTGCCAACAGACACCCCACCAAAGATATTAAATGGAAAGTTCCAGGAATAATTCATAAGTTTAAAACTGCACGCTGCTTTGAGTAGCACGATGAAACCTTGTGTCATCCCGCTCCGTCCCACCTGGGGAGTGACATGCTAGACTAATTCTGAAAGTAAGCAGCACAGAGAAAAACCTCTGGGTTTATATAGAGAGACCCTCTCCAGTGTTTTCATAACTGGGCTTCTTCCAGGATTAGAGCCAAAAGAGACTCTCTCTCCTTGCTGAGCATCTTAGTGCTCCCCTGAAATGATCACCCACCACTGAAGCAGAAGCTCCTCTCTGACACCTCCCCTTACTGTGCTGCCTTGGGCATTTTTTTTTTTTTTTGCGGTACGCGGGCCTCTCACTGTTGTGGCGTCTCCCGTTGCGGAGCACAGGCTCTGGACGTGCAGGCTCAGCAGCCATGGCTCACGGGCCCAGCCGCTCCACGGCATGTGGGATCTTCCCGGACCGGGGCACGAACACGTGTCCCCTGCATCGGCAGGTGGACCCTCAACGACTGCGCCACCAGGGAAGCCCTGTTTACCCTTTTTTAACACCCAGCAGAGACTTGGCACTATTAAGCTACCTATTTCCTCTTATTATCAACACTAGGATGAATAGGTAAGGTGAGAGAATAATTACAGTGTAGTGTAGTTGACTGGGCAGAGGATTAGAAGTCAAAAGAGTGAAATCTGAGTCCCACCTCTGGAACATGAAGCATTTAGACTTTTGAACTGGTCATTTAACTTCTCTATATCTCAATTTCAGTATTTAACTGGAGGTCATAATACCCATAATACCCAAAGAATTTTTGGGATAAAGAAATCAGATAATGCAAGTGGAAAGAAACCTGATAAACTCTAAAGCCCTAGCAAACAGTCATTTAGTCAGTCATTTATGCATTTTTCATCAACTGTTTATTGAATACCTACTGCATGCTAGCTACAGTTCTAGGCACAAGCTATATGAACGTCGCTAAGACAATGTCCCTCTCCTCACAGGGCTTAAAATTTAATGTAGAAGGCCTGTGAGAGGTTAATTTTATGAGCCAGCCTGGCTGGGCCACCATACCTAGATATTTGGTCAAGCATTATTCTGGATGTTTCTGTGAGGGTGTTTTTTTGTTGTTGTTTTGTTTTGTTTTTCCCCCCGGCTGACAGCTTTATTGCTGTGGGGAAGGGGACAGATAGTTCAGGAGCTCTTGGTGGGATGGGTCCGCTTCCTCGGCACCATCACAGGCTTCTGGCTGCGCAGGACGTTGCTGGCTCTGCAGAGGGCGGCCGTGCGCAAATCCGGGCGCTACTTGTCGTTTCGGATTATGTGCCAGATGCTGGTGAGGGTGGCCCGGGCCTTCTTGTTGATGCTGGTCCGCACGTAGGAGGTGGCCAGCTTTCGCGGGCTGGATCTCTGCTTCGTGACCGCCACGACCCCTTTGCCGGCCGCCGCCGGCTCCACGCCCACAGTCTTGCGGTGAATGAGCTCATTGTAGCGGAAGGAGTTGCGGGCCTTCAGGTTATTGGGCTCGGTTGGCACATCTACCTCTTCCTCTTGATCAAGAAGCTGGAGCAGTTCTGCACGACCATCCATTGCAGATGCGCGGACATGGCGGCACCTCCTCTCGTTGCGACGGCCGGAGATGGAAAGAGGGGGGTTTTTGGGGATGAGATTTACATTGAAGTGATGGATTTCGAGTACAGCTGGTTGTCTTCCATAATGTGGGTAGGCCTTGTCTAATCAGTTGAAGACCTAACAAGAACAAAGGAGGGACACCTTCCTCCCCATCCCAACCCGGTCCCCCGCAAGAAGAATTCTACCAGCAGACTGTTTCGGACTTCAGCTGCAACGCCAGCTTTCCTGAGGCTCTAGCTTGATGGCCTTTGTACTTGAACTGCAGCAATGGCTCTTCCTCGGTCTCCAGCCTGCCAGCCCACCCTGCAGATTTTGGACTTGCCAACTTCTATAATCACATGAATAAATCCCTCAAAAAAAATCTTTTTCTACCTACAAGTGTCCCCTGCTTTTCGAAAGTACACTTTATGCCACTTCGCTTTCATGAAAGATACACAAACATTAGTACCTGTTTTCAGTAACCAAAAGAAATCGGAAGAGGATTTGCACTTTCAGAGTAAAAGGTGAAAAGTGAAAAGAGCATTAAGTAAGCATTTGTTTTGCAAGAGCCAGTATAGAGACAGCAGCCAGCCCCAGCTTTGAGAGCGGCGCTGCAAGTTCCTTCCCCAGGATTTACACTCAGCATTGCAGCGTCAAACTGCCATAGTTTTGAACTACGATTCTGAGCATCTCTGCTTTATCTTGGTTTATTCTGTGCACCCGTTAGCAAGATGTGTCCTAAGGTAATTGCCTCTTTGTTTTATGCCATTTCAGCTTAAGAAAGGTTTCATACGAAGGCTGTACTTCCGGATAACTGGGAAAAAACCTGTATTTACACATTCTGTTGGTTCTGTTTCTTTGCAGAACCCTGACTAATACAGATTTTGGTACCAAGAAGTGGGGTGCTGCTATAACAAATACCTAAAAATGTGGGTAGAGGCTGGAGGAGTTTTGAGACACACGCTAGAAAAAGCCTAGATCACCAGGAAGAAATGGTTGGTAGGAATATGAATGATAAAGGTGATTCTGGTGAAGTCTCAGATGGAAATGAGGAACATGTTATTGAAAGTTTGGGGAAAGTTGATCCTTGTTATCAAGTACCAAAGAACTTGGTGGAATTGTGTTTTCGTGTTTTGTGGAAAGTAAACTTTGTGATAAAATAGGATATTTAGCTGAGGAGATTTCTAAGCAAACCGTTAAAGGTATGATTTCCCCTTGCTGCTTATAGTAATGTGAGAGGAGAGAAATAAATTGAAGGAGGAATTGTTAGGCAAAAAGGAACCAGAAATTGAGGATTTGGAAAATTCTCAGCCTATCCATATGGCAAAAAACAAGAAAGCTTCCTCTGGAGAGGACATCGTGGGTATAGCTGGAAAATCATTTCATAAAGGGATTAGGAGTGAAATTCCTGGGTTTAATCAGCCAGCTCAGCGGAATCTAGCAATAGAGTTGGTGTTGCACCAGCAGAAACACTGCCAGACTAGACTAAAAGGTGAAGAGATAAGACAAATTGAAGGAAGGCTATCAGACCTCTGAGATTCCACAGGATAGGGCAATCGATCTATCAACATGTGTTATCCTTTAAGGGAAGAGTGACCCTGATTCATGATGGTATCATGGGAATGATATCAGAGAGCTGCCACTCCCACCACAGACCCAGAGCACACAGGCCATTAGGGCAAGGCTCTCTCCTCCTCAGTTTCAGTGGGTTCAGGCCAGTGGCCAGGGCGGAGGGAGCAACAGGGCCACCTCAGTGGGCCTGGAGGTCAGAGCACTGAGCCAATGAGAATTATTTCTGAGACTTAAAATTTAATGGAATATTGATTTCATGGATATGACAACAAAAGCACAGGCAACAAAACCAAAAATAAACAAATGGGACCACATCAAACTTAAAACTTTCGCTCATCAAAGGACACAATAACAGAGTGAAAAGGCAACATATGGAATGGGAGAAAATATTTGCAAATCATATATCTGATAAGGGGTTAATATCCAGATTATATAAAGAACTCATCAACAAAATAATCAAATAAACTGATTAGAAAATGGGCCAAGGACACGAACAGGCATTTCTTCAAAGATGATATAAAAATGGCCAACAAAAAAAAAAAAAAAAAAAATGGCCAACAAGCATATGAAAAGATGCTAAACATCATTAATCATCAGAGGAATGCAAATTAAAACCACAATGAGATATCTCTCTTCACACTCATTAAGATGAAAAAAAAAAAAGCTACCATCAAAAGAAAGAAAAGGAAAGCTACCATCAAGAAAAAGAAAGAAGGGGCTTCCCTGGTGGCGCAGTGGTTGAGAGTCCGTCTGCCGATGCAGGGGACATGGGTTCGTGCCCTGGTCCCGGAGGATCCCACAGGCCGCGGGGCGGCTGGGCCCGTGAGCCATGGCCGCTGAGACTGTGCGTCCAGAGCCTGTACTCTGCAACGGAAGAGGCCACGACGGTGAGAGGCTCGCGTACCATACCACAAAAAAAAAAAAAAAAGAAAGAAAGAAAACCAGAAAATAACAAGTGTTGGTGAGGATGTGGAGAAATTGGAACTATTGTGCACCATTGGTGGAATTATAAAATAGTGCAACTGCTATGGAAAACAGTACGTCAGTTCCTCAAAAAATTAAAAACTTCTAGGTACTGAAAGTATTGAAAGCAAGGGCTCATAGAGGTATCTACACACCCATGTTCACAGCAGCACTATTCACAACAGCCAAAGGTGAAGCAACCCAAGTGTCCATCAGTGGTTGCATGGATAAATGAGCTGTGGTGTGTACACACAATGGAATAGTATTCAGTCTTAAAAAAGAAGGAAATCTTGTCACATCCTACAACAGGATGAACCTTGAGGGTATTATGCTAACTGAACTAAATTAGTCAAAAAACACACTGTATGATTCCACTTAAATGAGGTGTCTAAAGTCATCAAACTCATAGAAACAGAAAGTTGCATGGTGGTTGCCTCTAGCTGGTGCCAGGAAGAAAAGGGGACCTGTGGTTTAATGGGTACAGAGTTTCAGGTTTTTGTTTTTGTTTTTGTTTAATTTTGTTGAAGTATAGTTGACTAACAACGGTGTGTTAGTTTCAGGTGCAGAGTTTCAGTTTTGCAAGATGAAAAAGTTCTGGAGATCTGTTTCGCAACAATATGAATATACTTAACATTACTGAACTGTACAATTAAAAGTGGTTAGGATGGTGAATTTTGTGTTATGTGTTTGTTACCACAATAAGAAACAGAAGGGAAAAAAATCTAATGGAATTTACCTTGCCAAGTTTTGGACTTGTTTGGGCCTCTTCACCCCTTCCTTCTTTCAGATTTCTCCCATTTTGGAAAGGGACTGTCTATCCTATGTCTGTCCTACCACCGCATTTTGGAAGGACATAACGTGTCTGCTTTCAGAGGTTCACAGCTGGAGAGGAATTTTGCCTCAGGTTGAATCATACCTCGAGTCTCACTCACACCTGATTTGGATGACATTCAGGTGAGACTGTAGTTGGAATGGATACTGGAATGGGTTAAGCCTTTGGGGGCTGTTAGGGTAGAGGTAATTGTACTTTACATGTGAGAAGGACATGAATTTGGGGGGGCCAGAGGGTGGGGTGTTATAGACTGAACTGTGTCCTCCTAAAATTCACATGTTGAACCCCTAACCTCCAGTACCTTAGAATGTGACTGTCTTTGGAGACAGGGCCTTTGAGGAAGTGATTAAGTTTAAGCGAAGTCATAAGAATGTGATGTAATCCAATGTGACTATGTTTTTATAAGAAGAGAAAGAGACACCAGGGGTGTGCACACAGAGGACAGGCCTTTTAAGGACACAGCAAGGAGGCAGCCACCTGCACGGAGACAGGTCTCAGGAGAAACCAGCCCTGATCTTGGTCTTCCAGCCTCTAGACCTATGAGAACATAAATTTCTGCTATTTAAGCCACCCAGGGACTTCCTGGAGGTCAAGTGGTTAAGACTCCACACTCCCAAAGCAGGGGGCACAGGTTCAATCCCCGGTCGGGGAACCAAGATTCCCGCATGCTGCTGTGCGGAGTGGCCAAAAAAAAAAAAAAAGCCACCCAGTCTGTGGTATTTTGTTATGGTAGCCCTAGCAGACTACTACAACAGACAACAAACAAACAAACAAATACATAATGTCAAGTAATGGTAAGGGAGCACTTGGAAGAATATATGAGCAAGGTACCGTAATAAAGAGCTGGGGAGGAGGGTTATTTAAGGCAGGGTGCTGAGGGTAGATCTCAGCAGAGATGACGTTTGAACAGAAACCTGAATGACGTGAGGGAGCAATTCTTGGGAGCGTTTGTGAGAAGACTGTTCCAAACGGAAGGCATTCCAAACACAAAGACGCCAAGCGAAGGATGTGCTCTTGGTCTGGTGCCAAAAGACTGAGGTGCAGGAGTGCGGTGAACCGGGGGCAGAGAGGATGGAAAAACCGTTGGAGAGAGAAGTAGGAGTCTGATCACGCAGGGGCATGGTAAGTGATGGCTTGGATCCTGGATTGTACTTTAAATGCGACAGGAAGCCAGGAAGCTGCAAAGGCATTTTAGGTTTGGGGGTGAAGGAGTAACCTTAGTCGATTTATGTTTTTAAAAAGGTATTTGCTATTGAATGGAGAAGATGAGAGAGGACAGCAAGAGTGGAAACAGAGACCAACTAGGAGGCCACCGGTCCAGGTGAGAAATGATGAGGGCTTGGACGACGGTGGTAGTAGTGGCAAGTAGTGAGTCGTTGTATTTGAAATATATTTTCGAGATACAACCAACAGGAGTAACTAACTGGATGTTGGGCATGAGGAAAAAAAAAAAGGAGTCAAGAATGATCCTAAGGGTTTTGGCCTGGGTAACTGGAGTTGCCATTTACTTCAGTCAGGAAAACAGAGAGAGGAGGGGTCAAATCAAGAGCTTTGTTTTAGACATGTGAAGTCTGGGATATTGTTAGGATACTCACTAATAATAGTGCACTAATAATAGAACACTCTCCTTGTTTTCCCCGGATTCTGGCAATATACAGGTACAAAAGATATGGTTCCTGCCTTTACGGTCTCATGGAAGGGGGTGGAGAGTGACATATAAACCGATTTTTTTTAATTAATAGGTTTTATTTGGGGGGAGCAGTTTCATGTTTACAGAAAAATTGCTTAGAAAGTACCCATATACTTCCTCACCTACCGTATTACTAACATCTTGCATTAGTATGTACATTTGTTACAACGGATGAACATTAAGTGACATAGCTTAGTCACCCGAAGTCCATAGTTTACATTAGGGTTCACTCTTGGTCTTGAACATTTTACAAATTTGGACCAGTCACCCATCATTACAGTATCATATGGAATAGTTCCACTGCCCTAAAAAAACTCCAGCTGTTCATCCCCCCCCCCCACCCATCCCCCACCTCCAATTCCCAGCAACTAGAGATCATTTTACTCTCTACACAGTTTCGCCTTTTGCAGAACGTCATATAGTTGGAATCATACAGTATGTCGCCTTTTCAGACGGGCTACTTTCACTTACTAATGTGCATTTTAGGGTCCTCTATGCCTTTTCATGGCTTGATAGCTCATTTCTTTTTAGTGCTGAATAATATTCCATTGTCCGGGTATACCATATTTTATCTCTTCACCCACTGAAGGACATCTCGGTTGCTTCCAAGTTTGGGCAGCTATGAATAAAGCTGTTACCAATACTCACGTGCAGGTTTTTGTGTAGATGCAGCTTTTCAACTCATTTGGATAAATACCAAGGAATGTGATTGCTGGATTGTAAGCAAGTATTTTAAATGTCAATTTCTATACAAGGGCCAACAGGGAACACAGACTATTGCTTGCAGGAAGCAAAGAGCTTTCTTTGAGGTCCTTAAGTTTACTCTAGCAATGCTCTAAAACTATAAATGTCCTTCCTTCTCTGTATTACTATTAGTCTGACACTATCACCAGGATACCCCTGCCCGGCTCATTTACAGGAAGGCAGCCACTGAATAGCGATAACTGAAGGGCTCATGCTGACTCACATCCACCTTTTCAAAAAACCGTAAGCAAGTGCCAATCTATTGATGACGGAGGAAGCAAAGCCACTTTTCAGTACGTTTCATAATTAAATGTCTATGTTCTTTAAGCAGTGGTCTTCCCTAACTTTGGTGAGCCCAACTCCGCCGAAAAAAAATCCATCAAGTTCTATACGAAGAAAAAAGCTACTGAAGCTCTAGGGTGGTGTTTATTCATATGGGGTCTAAGATGGACCAGGCAGGTATACAGACCCCCTAAAAGTAAATGCAGATATTGTATTTCAGTGTACTTTTCTGAGGGGTAGGGGGACCATAATGAGCTCTTATCACAGTCCCCAAAAAGTGCAAGATCAGAAAACAGCCAAAGGAGCTGCCAAACCTTGGGTGTGTACGAAGGGGGAGGAGAAGAATCTGACCTCCCCTGGGTCATCAGATGAACAATAGTGTGGAGACCTCCGGCATTGTCTGCTTTCTCAGTGGTTCACCGCCCACTCTTAGAGAAGGTCTGGGCTCTAATTCCCTCCTAGCAGGGGGGAGGGCAAGAGTCCAATGCCCTCCTGGAGTGCAGGAATAGTGCTCCCTATTACTAAGGTACCTTAGCAAGAAGTAAAACCAATCCTCAGAACAGGGTGCAGTCTGAACAGGCTAAAAATCTTCACCTTCATGCATACACTTGGTCATGGTAATATTTTAGCATTGCCTTTAGCAACTCAAAGAGGAAGAGCTGTGAAACAGTAAAGGCAAAGGTCTCTCGAGCTAAACTTTGAATCGTGAGATCTCCTCATTAAAACTGTCCACACTATATGCAGACGACAGATTTTGTCCAGTGCCAAGCAGGTGCCACATAGGGTTCTGGCCACTGTCCTTGTAACCATTCTATGTCTCCCACATATGCTTCCTTTACAAGCGCCATGTGGTCTTTCTGTGTAGTGAAAAATCGGCTTCCCTAATTTACACAGCTTTCTTACCAATAATTGAGGCCATTCGGACTTCTTGTTTTCAGCCTCAAATTGAATCAGGCAGTCACAGAAATATTTGGATGAGGCGGGCCCAGAAACCCAAGAATCTCTTCTGGTCTGTGTCTACCCAGTAGGTTAGCCCCGCCTGCCCGCGTTTTTTTTAGGAGGCTGCTACGTAAGAGAGTGCAGACGTGCTTCATGGACCGTAGACCGTCAGGCAAATCTCTGTGGCAACCAGTTCCATCACTCAAAGCTGACCAAAGTCTCCCCACCCTTTATACTTCTGCTTCTCCCCTCCTCCAACGGAATTTATTTCGTGCTAATGCTACTCAGGGATGCAGGCAGTATCTTTATCTCCCCTGTTGTGCTGTTTTTCCTCATCCTCTTTGCCTCTCCTTCTCCATTGGACATGAATCTGCACGATCCCGTGGTGTAAAGCCCTGAGTACTTCTTCCATGGTGGGATGCAGATTTATTGAATGAATGTGTACTTATTTCAAAAATGTGTGCAACGAACGAGTGTTTACTTTGATGGCGTGACCCTATAATCCTATAACTGTTTAAGTGTTCAAATCGGGGGGAGGTTACTTTGATTACAATCACAGTCTAAATTCTTTAAATATTAAGTTCCAGGTGGACTTTTTAATCCAACTTAATTCCAATTACACATAAATGGCTGTTTTAAGCTACTTGTAAATAAACAAGTTTATACATGCTTTTACAAAATTAAGAGGAGCAAGATAATCCATTAAATTTCATACTCTTGACAAGTGGCCCTTTAAGAGCTTTGAGTCTTAGCTTGATATTCTCGGGCCAGCTTCCTCTGGATACTATTAATAAGCAGAAACAGATCAACATACTGATAGCGAGAACGAGGAAGAAAGACAAATGGCCTGAAAAGCCCACAATGGGATATAGATCTGGGTTAATTCATTTATGCATTTGTTTACCTCTGCTATGTTGCCAGGCCCAGTTTCAGATACTGGGGATATTGTGGTGGTAAGAGAATGCCAGTCCCTGCTCTCGTGGAGCTTAAATTCAAGTGGATTGGGGTCATGTACATGTTTTTACTTTCTTTAAAAAATTTATTTTTGACTGCGTTGGGTCTTCGTTGCTGCATGTGAGCTTTCTCTAGTTGTGAGGAGTGGGGGCTACTCTTCGTTGTGGTGCGCGGGCTTCTCATTGCAGTGGCTTCTATTGTTGTGGTACACGGGCTCTAGGTGCGCGGGCTTCAGTAGTTGTGGCTCGCGGGCTCTAGAGCACAGGCTCAGTAGTTGTGGCGCACGGGCTTAGTTGCTCTGTGGCATGTGGGATCTTCCTAGACCAGGGCTCCAACCTGTGTCCCCTTCATTGGCAGGTGGATTCTTAACCACAGAGCCACCAGGGAAGCCCCGTTTTTACTTTTTATTTCTATTAAAAAATTTTTGGCGGGGGTGGGTTCCCTGGTTAGGATTCAGCGCTTTCAAGGCTGTGACCCAGGTTCAATCCCTGGTCGGAAAACTGAAATCTCACAAGCTGCTCAGGGCAGCCAAAAAAAACAAAAAACAAAAAAAACAAAATTCCTTTAAAGCAAGTGTAGCTAAGAGCATGGATTCTGGAGCCAGGCATCCTGGGTTTCAATCCTAGCTCTGACACTTGCATTGTGTGATTTGGGGAAGGTCATTCAGCCTCACTGTGCTTCTATTTCCTCACCTGTAAAATGAAGGTAATAATAGAGTCTACTTCATAAGATTCATTATGAGAATGAAATCATTTAATATGAGTAAAGTACTTAGAATAGTGCCAGTATATATTAAGTGTCACCTAAGTGTTTGTCAAATTAAAAAAAAAAAAAAAGAAACAAATGTATCTATTTAATTTCATAGCAGAATACATATGCTCAGAGCTACAGAAGCTACTGCAGGTCATGAATTAAAGCCTAGATCCCCATTTTTTTCCAAGAACCTAAAGACTTTCCAAAGATTCTCCAGTTACATGGGAGAAGTTCAAACAAATCATCACAGAACTATTCTCCCCTATAGTAGGAGTAAGAGGTTCTTGATAAACTGAAGATGTTTTTATTACATGCCTGGTTCTTATCAGGTTACGTCATTTACAATTCACAACAATAGTTTAAATTTATTATTATCATCCTCATTTGCCATGAGAAATCTATACGTAATTTGTTCAAGGACCCACGATTTGGGGCAGAACTAGCTGTCTGATTGTACTATAGTATATTCCTGTAGATTAAGAGACAGATACAGCCAATGTAGGTTCAGAAAAAACTATCTAGGATAGCCAGTGTTTTCCTGTTCTCACCCCCTACCCTTTTCCTCCTAGAAATGGGGCCTATTCTTCCTCCCTTCTTAAGCAGCTGATCATAAACAGGAAGCATAGCTGGGTGCAGTAAGTCTGTGGCTGGGGATAAGTGGCTGTAGACAGACATCCTCCTAGGTGGAGCCTACCTGAGGGAAGAAGCACTCCTGCTACTTATCAGGGTTGTCTTTGTCAACAAGAAACACCAAAAGGAAAAAAAAAAAAGAGGGGTATCCTTCAGGAATAATGGATTTGGGGAGCCCAGCGCCTGCTTTTGCACCACCCATAAACTAAGAACATTTTTACATTTTTGGAAAAAAATAAAAATAAGAACTATAGTTCGTTGACTTGTAAAAACTATATAAAATTCAAATTTCAGTGTCCATAGGTAAAGTTTTACTGTACATAGCCATGCTCATTCATTTACACAAGGGCAGAGCTGAGTAGTTATGACAGAGACTCTATGGCCTGCAAAGCCTAAGATATTTAGTATCCCATGCTTTACAGTGAAGTTTGCCAACTTCCGAGTTAGGCAGTTGATGAGTCAAGTGGAATAGGGCCATAAAGTTGTAAAAACCCATAGTATAGGGTTATACTAGGCCCAAGTCAGGGGAAAGAATGGGATGGGGCAGTGCAGCAGGAGGAGAGGGTGAAGAGAGAGAGAATGGAATACATCTGGGTGGGATACAGACAGCCCGAGAAGTCAAAAACCTCTGAGGACTTCCTGTTAGAGAATGCAACAAAGTGGCCCACCAAGATGGAGATGCAAAAGGCCGGAGACTAAGCAATAGGAAATTCTCCAAATTTCTCTCACACCACATAATAGGGACTGGGAAAAACACTTACCAAGGTTGAGTGTGACGTCCCAAACTGGTTCCCTAGGTTCACCCAGGGTTGATAGGTTCACCTGTTCTTTTTATTTATCTATATAGAAACACAGTATAGATATTATTGGGCTGGCAAAAAACTTTGCTCGGGATTTTTCATAAGAGCTTATGGAAAAACCGGAACAAGCTTTTTGGCCAACGCAGTATCACACCTAAATCCCTAAGCAGCTACTCTGAACATGGCACTGCCCTCCAAATATTTTTTCCATTTTATCGAGATATAAGTGACATACTGCCCTGTATAAGTTTAAGGTGTACGGCATAATGATTTGACTTGTGTACATCATGAAATGATTATCACAGTAGGTTTTGTGAACATTGATCATCTCAAAGAGGCATAATGATTTGACTAGTGTACATTATGAAATGATTATCACAGTAAGTTTTGTGAACATCGATCATCTCAAATAGACAAAAAAAATTTTAAATAGAAAAAAAAATTTTTTGTGATGAGAATGCTTAGGAGTTAGTCTTGTACCAACTTTCATATATAACATACAGCAGTGTTAATTATATTTATCATGTTGTACATTATGTCCTGGTGCTTATTTATCTTATAACTGGGAGTTTGTACCTTTTGACCGCCTTCATCCAGGTCCTCCTCCCTTCACTCCCCGCCTCTGGTAACCACAAATCTCTTTTTCTATAATTTGTTTGTTTTTGAAATATAATTGACTTAGACTGCCCTCTTTTAAGGAGGGGAAAACTCAGGACTGGATTAAAGAAGTGGCTAATCGAGTGGCTAACTTAGTGGACTGATGGATGATCTCCAAATGCAGTCTTCCTATCTTCCTTAGCTACATGTCATTTTCTGTGACCCCCAAAAAGGTGGCAGTCACACTGCATTTTATATCAGTGCTGAAGATGGTATAGGGAAGAGGGCTGTAAGGATGGCTGAAGTGTACAGTGATGCACTGTGAGACTTGCCAGGGATTTCTGTGTCTTCTAATATTCCTTTCTACAGTTGGTAAGTGGAAGTCACAAAAGTTGGAAACTGGAGCCAAAACGTTACCACCTCCATCACCCATTTACCTAATGAAATCATGTGTGAAGAAATGGGATGCGGAGACTAGTAGAGAACAAGGACCTTAGTGGAATCAGGTCCCTCGATAAATCATTATAAATAGAACACATTATTAAACCTAGATCATTAATTTGCTTATTCTACACTTACTGATTTCTATCACTGCTTGCTGCTGAGTCGTAATTTAAAACACACTATGGGAGCCTGTTTTAAAAAATAAAGTCAATCTCTACATAATTTTTTAAAATCCTGCAAATTCTATAATATCAATATAAATGATTGTTCTAATTAATTTCTTCGCAAATTCAAGATTTTAATGTGGCACAATAGGTGTGTTTAAAGTAGAACACGTTGAATTTTCTAATGATTAACTTTCTACAATATGTCGGATGCTGTTTTGAAGACATATATTATTTGCTGATTATGTTTACCCAAAGTCCTAAAAAGTTTACATGAAGGGGCACTACCAAGTTCATAACTAAAATATAATGCACAAACAGAATGTCATGATACATAAATCGCCTCGTTTTTTAAAACGGGGCGCTGGCTTATTTTTCTCCATGGTACAAAAAGAGAAAGATAAACACCAATAGAGGAATGTATTTACATCTCAACTGAAGGGAAAATGAATGAGGCAGGAAAAGAAGAGTCCCAGAATTAGAGTTTTTTCCACTTTCCTGGTTTCTCCTCTCAAGCACTCCTTCAGCCATGGTAGCGCGCCAAACAACTCCCCATTTGCCTGCAACCTGCTTTTTTTTTTTTTTTTTTTTTTTGCGGTACGCGGGCCTCTCACTGCCGTGGCCTCTCCCGTGGCTCCGGAGGCGCAGGCTCAGCGGCCATGGCTCACGGGCCCAGCCGCTCCGCGGCATGTGGGATCTTCCCGGACCGGGGCACGAACCCGTGTCCCCTGCATCGGCAGGCGGACTCTCAACCACTGCGCCACCAGGGAAGCCCCCTCCGTTAATTCTTAACTGCTCTTCCCCTCCCAATCTTGAAGCGTCTTTCTCAGCGACTTATTCGTTCTAAATCACCTCTACTCTCGGTACCAGCTCTCTCCCTCTCCTGCACTCACATCCCCCCATCCAGTTTCCAAGCCCCCTTTCCCCTCACTTGCTCTCTACTCTCCTTCTTCTAAGCCCACCACTCCGCCCCCGCCGGCCTCGCCCCTGCCAACTGGTATCTCTCCCTCCTTGGCCAAAATTGGCCCGACGAAGAGATCAAGAGCTGACACACACGGAAAACACACGTGCGTGCAGTGACCGTCTGGGGCGGGGACGCACGGCCGGGGGCTGGGCAGGATGCTGCGCCGGGGGCGCTGTGCCTTCCCGCACGTCCGCGCCTGCGCCCCGCCCCCGGCCAGATGCTGAGGAGGCCCGGCGGGCGCGCCAGCCCGGGTCCTCGGAGAAAGCTGTAATTTCCTGAATCTGAAGCATCTCTAGGGAGATGCAAAATGTTCCACAAGGGTTCTGCCTCTAGGGCGGGTTTTTGTTCTATGCAACTAATCCCAAACCGCCCTTTCAGCGCCACTCGGCAGTGTCCGTCTACATCCCCCCTGCTCCTCGACCTTACCCCGACTGTTTAGCCTCGGGTCTGGTCTGGTCTTGTTTTCTGTTCTTTGCTCTCCCCTTCTGCCTCCCTTCTCCCCTCTTCTCTTTTCTGTGTATATTGCACATTTCACATTACCACACGGACTCGGATCTTTACAAAATCGTCCCGTTCTTCACGTACCTGCAGCGCCCTGATTCTTTTTTTGAAGTCAATTTCATTTACATGCTGGGTGTCCAGGGCGACGACTTTTGACAGATACACGCGCCCATGCACCCACCGCCCGACAGATTTGCATCTTACGAAGTGTCCTCAGCACCCTGATTCCTGCTGCACTTCCTGTCATTTTTTAATCATACTGTATAGTTTTAGTCTCATGCATTCACCTTTTTCATATATCGGCAAATATTTATTAAGTACCTTCTATGAAACAAACACCGATGTTACAGAGATTAAAAACTACAAACTACTCAATTGAAAAGGGAAGGCAATATAATGCGACTCATGCTTTCTGCTCTACTTCCACTTATATATTTCTGATCATCCCCCCACCCCCTGTTTAGACCCTCAGACAACTTGGTCAGCTGTCTAATCCTTCCTGAGAAATAAATGACTTCTTTCTTCCTAAGTTTTCTTTTTTCCTGAGGAAGGCTGAAGGTGAAGGAAGCACACTAGACCCGGAACAGCTGCTGAGGAGAAAGCAGGGTGGGAAAGCACTAAAATGGGGAGAATGCCCTGGAGGTGTGGATGGAAGGCTTAATTAGAGTGGGAATTGTCACAGGCACTGTTCCCAAACAAAGTCTGAGAATGCAGCTGTAAAGGCTACTGGAAGGCTCTTTGGGCAGGGGGACAGGATGTAAGTCCCTGGGATAGACTCATAAAAGAAAATGTCAGCATATACCATTGAGTTTAATCAGACACATTTAGAAAAGATGGGAAAGTAGGCTACTGACCAGAGATGAAGAAAATTTGAAGACCGCCCCCGTCCCTAAAGGGTATGCTATTTGGCAGGGAGGGTGAAAAATCAATCTAAGAAAAGTAGGCATGGGAATTCCTTGGTGGTCCAGTGGTTAGGACTCCACGCTCCCACTGCGGAGGGCCCAGGTTCAATCCCTGGTCGGGGAACTAAGATCCCATAAGATGTGCAGCCACAGAAAGAAAGAAAGAAAGAAAAAAAAATACGGAAAGAAAGAAAAGCAGGCATAAGGACACAAAGGTGAAAACTAAGAAGAAAAGGAAGGAAAAACAACAAGAAGATTGGTTGCAATGTTGATGTAAACATAGCCCTCTTCCTGAACCAGTGACACAGGGCTTCCACTTCCCTTTACTGTCTGTCACATGTTGCTCAAGTCTAGAAACGGAGATGTCTGACCACCAACTTCAAGCAAGGGGATAACCTCTAGATTCATATAGTAGATGTTCAAATTACAAAACCGAGCCTCTTAACAGTGCTGAGCTGTTGGAGTTGAAACATTTAAAAAAAAAAAAAAAAGAATTTGCCCTCTAGTGGTGTTAGAAGTGAGGGTGAGTTCTTTCTTCCTTTTATGTCTTTTTCTTTCTTTTTTCTGCTTTACTTAAGTATAAAACACAAACAGGAAAGCAGGTAAAAATGCGTTAATGTTAAGTATACAGCTGGGTGGGCAGGTAAAAATGGGTTAATGTTAAGTATACAGCTGGGTGAATATTTACATCCATGTTCACCTGTACAGTACAACCACCACCCAGATTAAGATCCAAATTCTAAAACACTTCTAGCTCCCTAGAAGGTTTCCTTGTGCCTGTCTATAGCCTCCCTCCCCAGAGGAACCCACTATACTGACTTCTATCATCATTCATTTTGTTGTTCTTGATCTCTATGTAAATGGAATCATATAGTATGCACTCTTCTGTGCTAGGATTTTTTTCTTTTTCACTTAACATAGTGTCTATGAGTATTACGTGGTATGAATCAGCAATTCATTCCTTGTTACTGCTGAGTAGTATTCCATTTATGGACATACCAAATTTTATGTATCCAGTCTCCTGTTGATGTACACATTCACACGACTGCATTATTGTTTTTAGTTTTGAGCTATTATAAAACATCCCTGTCATTTGCCATACATATGAATTCTTTTCTCTTGGGTGTGTACTTAGGAATTGGGTTGCTATTTTTTGGCAATAAATAATAAATGCTAAATAAAAACAAGTGAGTGACATCTCTGTCTTAATATGTGTATGGTATTTTCATAAAAATCTTTTATATACATTGTTTTAATTGATCTTCAAAATTTTTTTTGTGAAGTAAGAAGGGTAGGTAATGCTATCTCCATTTTACAGGTAGAAACTGAAACAGGGAGATTTAAATGCCCAATTTAAAGTCATAAAATTAATAAGTTATGAATTAGGACTGAAAACCACATTTCTAGTCCTAATTTATGACTCAAATTCATTTTTCCTTTTCTCAGATATAGAAAACTGCTGTTTCTTATTGTTTTTATTAGATGTTATCCAGCCTCACGTGAATGGAGAGGTCACCCAGATGTCCGGGTTTCCTGAACTGTCCCAGTTCAGCACAGAAAGGCCCTGGGCAAACTGGGATGGTTGGTCACTCTACAGAAGAAAGAAAGGAGTCCAATGGGTATCACAGCTTGCAGCTGGGCACAAAAAACCAAAACCTATCTGAGTTAGCTCGTTCACACTCCTCCATTCCCAAAGAAAAAGATACTTTTAATCAAAGAGCAATGCAGTATCCACATATTTATGTACCATGAATGTCAGTTGTGTTCCCTGACTCTCAGAATCATCAGACTCGTGTTACTCAAGTTGTGGACCAGCAGCGTCAGCATCTCCAGGGAGTCCGTTAGAAATGCAAATAAAAACCCTCTACCCCCTCTTACACTCCCCTCTCTCCTGACCTAAGAATCCCAATTTCTAAGGGGTGGAGTTCAGGAATTTGTGTTTAACAAGCTCTCCAGTGGGGGGTCAAGGGAAGCAATGGGAAAGGGAGCTCAGGTTTGAGAAGTACTTATCTAGCCCATTTCCTTTACAGAGACATGGATCCTATATGGTTTTAAAGGTATCTCTGGGCAGAATAATTCCATTATCTCACTGAGTAAACTTTCCTTATGTAAAACAAATCCCATTGTTGGTAAAATCTTCTTTCTTGCTTATTAAATCTCTTATCTACCATTCTGGTCCTAATGAGAATGTACAATATCATTTCACAGTTGACTTTTGTTGTCCTTTTCTAAGGCCATTCCAATTGTTCTCCACTATCCCTTAAATTATAGTGTCCAGGGCATTCCCCGGCAGTCCAGTGGTTAGGACTCCACGTTTTCACTGCCGAGGGCCTGGTTTTCATCCCTGATTGGGGAAGTAAGATCCTGCAAGCCTCCCAGCATGGCCAAAAAAAAAAAAAAAAAAAAAAAAATTAAGGTGTCCAGAAGGAATCCTAGTGAAAAACCCTAGTACATCTAAAGAAAGACCTCATGGTTCCAACGTGAATATTCATGAATCTTTAAGAAAATCACTTTTCAAGGTACAATACACTCCAAACCACACAGGTATAAAAATCATAAAGCTTATAAACAGAAAGAAAGAGTTAATCTGGATCACAAGAGAGGGAATAAAAGATGACAAGCCTGGCAGAATGAAAAACAGGACGAATTTACTAGCTGGGCCTGGATCTGGGCACCCAGTATATGTTCCAGTAGGAGTTTGTGTAGTTTGGCTGGCATCCACCTACATAGTTTGTCTGTACTCTGTTTCAGGACTCAATCCAAAAGGTCACCCTCCAACTCCAACCCAGCTTCTCCCTGTCCATCTGATTCTAGGCTCTCTCTTCTTTCCTTTTCCCCTCATTCCTCCCCAGAGAGGGGTTGCTATGGGGATGGGACCACAGTAAGCCAACTGGTAAAGAAAAGCAGTGACAGAAGCAGAGTGGGAGAGTACAGAGAGAAAAATAAAAGACTAAGGCAAAAGGAAAAGGCACAGACATAGATGAGACTTCAGACAGTCAAAAGAGGAACTGCAGGGACTCCCCTGGGGGCACAGTGGTTAAGAATCGCCTGCCAATGCAGTGGACACATGGGCTTGAGCCTTGGTCCAGGAAAATCCCACATTCCGTGGAGCGACTAAGCCCGCAAGCCACAACTACCGAGCCTGTGAGCCAAAACTACTGAGCCCACATTGCCACAACTACTGAAGCCCACGTGCCTAGAGCCCATGCTCTGCAACAAGAGAAGCCACCACAATGAGAAGCCCGTGCACCACAACGAAGAGTAGCCCCTGCTCACTGCAACTAGAGAAAGCCTGCGGGCAGCAACGAAGACCAACGCAGCCAAAATAAATAAATAAATAAGAGGAACTGCACAAGTGATAAGATACCATAAACAACTTACAGAAATGGATGGAGACATACAGCCCACAGTTAGAGGAACAGAACAGAGGCATTAAGGCAATAGACATAAGCAAACCCAGGGACCTGAAATATATGTAGAGACACGGAGGGGAAAGACACAGTCATGTCTTGAACCAGATCATACAGGATTCTGGAGGAAACAGCTGCAGACGGAACCTTGCTAAGAACAGAGACCGTTCCTGGGAAGTGTTTATTTATTCTCATATGCCTCCATGAGTCATTTCAATTTCCAAGGAAGGGACCAGCAGGAGGTTATAAAGAGGATATGGTTACTTGCTTACTTCTGTATTGTTTTCCATTTCCTTTTCTGACACGTATGAAAAGGAACCTCCCAAAGACAAGCAAAAGCTAAGGTCTTTCCCTTTGACATAACCCTTTTAGTCTCTTGACTGTTCCTCCATCCATCTCAATATTTGTATCTCAAAATTTCTACAGTTCCTTCTCTTTCTGGCTCCTTTGTCTTTTCTTTCCATTTCCCCAGGTTATAAGCCACCATCTTCAGGCTCCTTTTGTCTCTCTGATTCTCTTTTCCAATATCTCCCTGTACCTGAAGTCATACTTGTCCCCATATCTTAGCCAGAAACTTTGCTTCTTCCAAATCCAGTCTCTATTTCTGCCCCTTAGCTGCATTCTTGGACCTCTCAATCTTTGGAGAAGATAACATCTAATAAAAACAACAGTTTTCTAACTCTGAGAAGATTTTAATTTTTTTTAAAGGCAATTTTTAGAAAAATTATAATATATACATACATATATGCCGAGAGAGCCTACAAAACCGCACAGTACTCTGCTGAACAGTGCAGAGCCCCCCACGTTCCTGCCGTCGGCTTGATTACAATTTGGCCCATGGAGGGCACCGGAAAAGAGAGTGCTGAAGGAAGTCAGAGAATTGAGAGACTTTATTCATGTGGAAACAATCCAGAAAGGCTTCTGAAGTTAGAATCTTCCAGAAGTTAGAATTTGGAATAGCTCTTGAAAGATGGGTAAGATAAGAGGTAGGCAGAGATTAGAGAAGAGCATCTCAGGAAGATGGGATGGCCTGGGCAAAGGAACGGTGCTAGGAAGTCTGTGCAGAGGATTGGGGAAGAGTGCTTTGTCCAATTTTGCTGAAGAGTAGGGTCCTTACAGGAATCTAGTAAGAGAGAACACTTTTCTAAAACCAAGTTCAGGCTCTGCTGCAGCAGTCTTTGAATACTGGACATGCTACTTTGTTTGTTTGTTTTTGCGTTATGCCGGCCTTTCACTGTTGTGGCCTCTCCCATTGCGGAGCACAGGCTCCGGACGCGCAGGCTCAGCGGCTATGGCTCACGGGCCTAGCTGCTCCGCGGCATGTGGGATCTTCCCGGACCGGGGCACGAACCCGTGTCCCCTGCATCGGCAGGCGGACTCTCAATCACTGCGCCACCAGGGAAGCCCTGACATGCTACTTTGAGTGTAAGCCCTTAGTTGAAGAATAAAGCAAAATCTTACTGCATTTTTTCCCTGTTTTACAGCACCAACATACCACTTGTACTCCAGAGACACCAAATGCATCACTTTTATCTTACATGCTTTGCCACAGCTAAAATATAGTCTCCTCACTCTGTGCTTCTTCTAATTTCCCCTCTCCATTTCATCCCTCCACCCCAGCTCTCAACCCCAAACTCTGTTGCTTCATTTCATTATCCTATCCATTGTTTCAGCCAGAAGGCTTTCTAGATAGAAACCAACTTGGTACAGTGGCAGAGAGCGTTTTCTGCAAACAATCTTCTCTCACGTATATTTTTAGAACAATGACAAGGTTGGAAGTTAGAAGACCCAGGTAGCTGCTCAGACTATGGCATTAACTTGCTGTGCTATACACTATGCTAATATTAGTTAAGTTGTTAAATCTGTGTCTCAATTCTCTAATCCTAACAGGTAGTCTTAAGGCTGAAGGGGAAGGAGCCCAGCTGATTTACTCTCTGCCATCTCAAACACACTGTCTGTACAAATACTTGGGGATTCATGCATGCAGAGCAATTATTACCCCATGGAAGAAAGGAGATCAATTATGTAGATATTTTGACTACTAATTAGGTATGCACTCATCATTTCTCTCTCAAACACACACTTGAAATTTCCAAATGTTTAGAAGTTTCCCTGGTTCATTTTTGTGCCTGGTACATGTAGACATACTCAATGAATATCTGAATGAATGAATGAATCTCTAGCTCTAGAACACAAAGGTATTGGGGAAGGCTTATTTTTTGCCACTAGATTCTGAGTGGTATCACAGTTGTAATTTGAAAACTTAGAAGCATCTGAAAAGAGCTACCTAGTTGTTGTTTCTGGGTATGGCTAAAGAAAGAATTTATTGCTCCCCTTGCACTTCAGAGTTTCCATCAGCCTTTGCTCCTTTCAGGTACCCTGAGAGTGAAGCTATTTACCCCTGTCTCACTAGTTCCTCTTTGATCTTGACAGCTGCCATCAATACCAAGAAACAAAACGGCCCCAGGAAAAGACTGGAGCTGCTCCCAGCATGGAGCACATGCAGTAAAAAGCATTCCTCTTGGTGCCCACACCTTGGCCTCTAAGTACAGCCAGTGACAGGACAGTGACTCCGCCTCCGCCTGTCTCACTAATAGCAAACTAGTGAACATGTCTGCACAGCCACGTCCCAGAATAGCCACATGCCTCATTGGGGCACCTGAAAGATAAGGAGAACAGAGCTTCTGGTTTAAGTTGTGTTGTATTTATCTAGTAGAAAAGCAGGATTGTTCCTCTTCTCAAGAAACATGACCTTACAGATGGAAAGAATGAGCAAAATATGGGGAAGAGAAAGGAAAGGCCAGAAAGGTCAGTGAGATAAATGAGACCGCGATTTTACTCTATTTATAATATTTATTTATTTATTTTGGCCACGCCTCGAGGCTTGCGGGATCTCAATTCCCCAACCAGGGACTGAACCCAGGCCCTTGGCAGCGAAAGCACTGAATCCTAATCACTAGACCACCAGGGAACTCCCTGATTTTGCTTTAAATGAGAGCATATGAAAATAATGTCCAAATGTGATCACTGAACATTGTTAATATTCTAAACAGGATGGAGACTGAGAGCGGTGACAGAAAATTGGGGCTCTGAAAACATTTTCTTAGGTGAAAAAAAGTTGTGCTTCAATATTGTCCCATTAAATTATAGAAAGATTATTAACAGATGGTTGGCATGAGATAAAGGGAGAGTGCAGTGATTAGTTGGAAGCAGAATTAATTCATTAAGTTTAAATTGTGTCGATTTTTTTCACGTAGGTCTTATTAACCTTTTTTTTTCAGTGAGGTTAGTAAACAACATCAGGGAGATACCATGGTCCAGGATTTGTAAATCTAGGTACTACTGGCATTTGGGGCCAGATAACTCTTTGTTACTGGGGCCTGTCCTGTGCATTGTGGGATGTTTTGCAGCATCCCTGGACCCTACCAACTAGATGTAGGTGGCACTCTCTTTGCCACAAGTCATAGCAATGAAATAAGTCTGCAGAAATTACCAAATGGCCCTGGGGAGCAAAATCACCGCAAGTTGAGAACCAGTGCCCTACACTGAGAAAATCTCTAAGAAGTTCCTTTCGTAAAGGACTGAAATACCTTACCCATCTGGAAATCAACTATTTGAAAAACTCACTTATTTTGAATATAGATTAGAAAATCAAAGTAAGGAAAAAAAAATTTCTCACTAGAGTTCAAAGCTTTACTCACAGAATGGCTCAGGTGGCCCCTCTCAGAAAGCACATACTCTCTCTCCATTTTAAGTTATTATAAAATATTCCAAACATACAAAGCAAACTGTTAATATCTGATACAAAGCATAAGTTGGTTATTTGATTTTCAAATCAACAACAGATTAGGAGAAAATTAGAAGAAATGTCGCATGCCTCAGGCAGGGACCCTAACACATGAATGACAAGACAGAACACAGACAAATTATAAAAAGTGAACATATTTCTGAAAGAATAACAAATCAGAGGGAAAACAGTCCCACATTTTGGGTGTGTTATTCAGGTCACTTTAGTCCTTGGCATCCTACTTTAAAAAGGATGTGACCAGGATGTTGAAGAATCTGGAAACAAGGTCCTGCAGAGCAGCTGGGGAAACTAGGATTATTAGCGTAGAGAATAAAAGACATTAGGAGAGAGCACGCTAATTTCCTTCAGACATTTGCTGTGTTTCCAAAAATATGTATTTTTCAGTAACCTCAGATGGAAATGGGCATCATATTTATACTACACTTATAATCATCTCAATGTAATAGAAAGAACTTGCTGGTAATTAGAGCTATCCAATACATAATAGGCCACCTTGAAAGGTAGTAAGTGTCTCACTGCTGACTTACTTCCTGATTTCCAGAGTCATAGATCTATAGCCTGTCTGATATCTCCATCTGAATGGCCAAAAGGCATCTCAGACCAAGCACAGCCAGACAGAAGTACCGGTTTCTCTTCCAACCTCCCAAATCTTTTCCTTCCTTACTCTCCTCCATCTAGTAAACATTATTACTATTCACCCCTTTGCCAAAGCCAAAATGCTAGGAGCTATGCAGGATTTCTCTCCCACCTCCCACATCTAATCCAACGGCAAGAACTGTCAGCTTTACCTCCAGAATCTACCCAGATTCGTTCCACTCTCCTATCTCCACCGCAGCACCCTTGTCAAAACCATCAAAATCTGTCATTTGATCTGCTGCAGTAGTCTCT